TTAAAGATGAAAACAGTCTTAACCTAGTAAAAAATGCCACCATACATTAGAATCTTGACGTTACTCTTGTTTTTCCTATAGATTTAATTTTTTTAAATATAAACAAAACAGCACTACTAGTATTAATAATTTTCATTTTTTGCATTATTTTTCACATTCCATAGTTATTCCCAAAATTATAACGCACTTATCAGATTTTAGCAATAGTAATTAAAAAAAATTTAGCAAAAAAAAAAAAAGTCATTTTATTATTTTTATATTAATGTTCACCGGCATTTGAGTGATTTATTCTTATAAACACATGATTCTATCATAAGTCAATGTAGTTATGTTCGTTAAATTATACCACAAATAATTATTGTAAATACAGATAGGAGATAACCAATTAAGTTTAATGTTAATGAAATAGTGAACTACATATTAATTAATATTATTGAAATATTAATTAATATTTCATTGGCAAGGTTTACTTGAATGATAAGTAGTGTAGGCTACAATGCTTGTTAAAGATAAATACCTAATTATACTACGCAGTTGAGTATAGCAAAGACTAAGATGTCAATAAAACATTCGTACAGTTTTATGGTCAAAAAATTTAAATAATAGATGTAAAATTGTTTTTATAATTTCCTTTTTTTCTTTTAAAATACATATTATGTACAAATGCACTAGCTGGGAACCTTTTTGCGTTTCATTCATTCCAAGATTTAAAGGTTTCGCATTAAAAACTGAAATTCCACATTATACACTATACATCACTTCTTATTGGTATAAATAACAAAAAATATAGATAAATTATTAAACCGTAAAACGTGTTTTCAATTAACATAATTGTACGTTTCTCATTTTGCAGCACTCAAAATATACTTAGACAGTCGTTCATTGTTGATCATGAGAAAACAGATAACACGGCGAGGAATTTTTTCTCAAGAGCATCATAAATTTGATATTGTGCGAGACGTGATTCATGTTATAAATTAATATATTATATACAATAGGAAAAATTTCGCAGTGAAAATTATTCAAATGTATTCCGTCAATGCGGAATTATAGAAATGTTTATGATCTAGCCATGTCTTTGATACTGAGCCAACAAATTTACATTTCATTGTAAATTGTAATACCTGCTGAAATTATCAGAATAAAACGTACATGACACGTATCAGCGCATGTTTCGAATTTTCAAACCCATTTGTTTCAATCCCAGTGGATGTGTACATGCTCTATATTTTTACAGATACTGATAAATTAATAGCTCTGAAACTGTACTAGAGGCTGTTTCACATTAACATGTTGGTATTTTATTTTAATGAAAAATAAAGAACAGTAAAAACATGTCCATATACTCTAGACAGAATAAATGAGCTTGGGGCATTCAGGAGAATATTATGACTTTGGTCTGTAGAGAGATGTGTAAAGTGTGTTCTATTACAGGCAGTTACTGTCACTCTGTTAGGCTTGTAGAAAAATAAGACTAACGATGGTTTTAAAAATAATACCATAATATGTATAATGTAGATTATAATATAGATATAATATAATGTAGATTATGAACGAGATTTTACTAAAACGTCAGTAACAGTATTTAAAATAAGTTAAACAAATTCAAAAAAATTAATTGCTTAGAAGAATATTTTTTATTAAATACAAGTGAATTATCAAATTCTTTGAAAATATCCATAAAAATGGCATGTTGATCCAAATTAATAAATTTTTGCAATACTTAGAGGATCCTTGTAACTCTTTATTGTATATAAAGAGACTGTTATTTAAACTTTTGGCATTATAATTTTTATTGTTTTTCAAGATTATCAGCTGGGATTATTATAACAAATTAAATTTTTAACTATTTACTTTATCCCAAATTACAAAGATAGCGCAAAAACTTTTCATTTATGATGCTTTAAATTTGAACTAATTATGAACAGTAAATATTTTTTAAAATTTTTGTGCTTGAGCATAAGTTACATTTTCAAACTAATTACATTGTTCGAATACATAAATATTACATTAGAGTAATGTCGAGTAATTAATCCATTAGGAACAATAATTAAGTATCTGATGAGATCATTTATTTTGTGAATAAATCATATAAATTATTCATTAAAATGAATATGAAATTATGAGAAAAATAATTGTGGATTTATCACCAAATTAATTTCTGTCAGTCAAAAACTTTGTAGTCTATCAAACTCTATGTATGAAGATAATAAAAAGCTTTTAATACATCACATGAAGGGGTAGAATTATAATAAAGTGTAATTCTTTTTATAGAAAATTTCGTTCGCGTGTGTTGTGGTGGGTCGAAGCTATTCTATTTATAAAGCTCGTATAAAGTAGCGTTTTTTATAGAATAACACTTTGTATGAGCCTTGTTGTATTATTGGAAATTTGTCACCGGAAACTACTTTTTCTTTTTAAAGATGTTGATAATATACTGTACAGAATTCGCTATAAAAGGAGTCGAGTTGCTTCTTGGAACTTGGTCTTTTATGTTTGTCTAAATGGCTCCAATGGCGGTTTAAGATTACAAAGGTTGGACCAAGTAATTTCAAAGTAATGTGTTGGAGAATAATCGCTATTATGTTGTGTTATATTTGAACAGTAGACTAGCATGCATTGAATATTTTGATTTTGTATTAGATACAAACGTGTTAAGTGATATGTATACCAATAAATTTGAAGTTATGGATGTATACCAAATATTATCACATGATATTAAACTAAAATGCCTCGACACCTATAAATTCCTAGATCCTTTCTGCGCTATTAATTTGACAATGCCTGGAAATCACTTCACAGTAGATCAATAGATAGTACTAAAATATTAAACACAATCCGTTGACGTCACGGTTGGTCTTCACCAAGAAAATTAGCTTCTTTTTGTGACGATCAATAAAGTGATTCAGCTCGAGATATATTTCAACGCAAAGCTCACTCATACCTACAAGGTGTTATTAGATTAAGTATATATTGTTTTAATAACGCAATAACGTTAATGAAATACCTTGGGGTGAAAATAAGATGGACATTCACCATCAAAGATGAAATCTTTGGTGACATCAACCTGGTTAAGTTATTGGTTTATAGTTTAATACCTATAAATTAATTACTCAAAGCGGGCACTTTTGAATTATAAGATGTAAAAAGCCAGTACTTTGTTTTGAATACGTTATAATAGCCATCGTGTTGTNAATACCTATAAATTAATTACTCAAAGCGGGCACTTTTGAATTATAAGATGTAAAAAGCCAGTACTTTGTTTTGAATACGTTATAATAGCCATCGTGTTGTACTCGTTGGAAGGCGAGTAACGCTGATTACCGGTTTGTGTGCTTCTATTTTGTTACTGACAACATCTTTAATTGGCAGCGATAATCGATTTTTATTTTTCAACGGTACTCTGATTTTGCAATACTCTGTTTTTTAATGATTTTCCGTGCAAAAATGAAAATAAAAAATGCCCTTGACCACCGTACATGAAGTCATTTACCAGAGGTATTCTGTTAATAGCTCCGTACAGATTAATGTCTACCGATTGGAATTTACCTGTTACGTAAATACCTTTACATTTACGGCCAATATGTTCATCAATCGTCTGACGATGTTTGTATATAAAAAATTCTCTTTTTAATAGAAAAAAAATCAAGCGGATATACAATTTCAACACAAATACAACTAAACGTTTAATGGAATCCATTAAACGAATTCAGACACGGTTAGTGACGTCGTTTCAGAATTGAGCAAAAAATCGTTTTCAGCATAAAAATAGCGATTTTTGGAATATATTCAAATCAAACCGATTACCAAACACTTCGCCCACTTTACTTTGTAAACCATTTATTCTTCCCGATCGTTAACTTAGACACCAACCAACAAACATACGTGCTAGACACTTACACCTACTCATCTAGCGCTATCGTCTGCACGCTACCCGCGTACACGACACGTTATTAAAATATTATTATAATAATATATTGTCTTATTATCAACACGTACCAACGGACTCGCAAATGATATACCGGCCAAATGATCATGATGGCGGTCGAGTCATCGCGTGCACTGTGCACACGTCACCAGCAGATCCGCCAAGCAGTCTGACTGTAAAATAGATAACACTAGATCGCCAGCCGCTATATTCGAAGAACAAAAATCACCAACAACTGGCTGGTTGATATTGTTATCACGATTTGATTTTTGCAAGGGAACAGGTAATTGGCGTCAGGGAAACAGTAACGCGTAGAAGCTTTCGACACGGAACCCAGTTCAACGTTATCCTCTTCCCGGAGGTCGTAGTACGTACAAGACAGTGTATCGCACATTGTCAGCACACATTGCACTGTCCATTCACATGACTCGGTCCCACGCAAATTATTTCTCCACTTTGTCCGCATAAATCTTTTCAGTTATAAGTAAGACTTTATGGCCGTCGATTTTAACATCAACAATAGCCTCTCTCTCTTGTTATTTCATTCCTATTTTCTCTCTACTCGAACGGGTTATTTAAACGTTGACAGATGGTGTCGTCGAAGGTAAACATACTCGTGACGTATGCGACAATGTGTTCAGTATAAACTGTACATTTCAGCCGATTAAAAAGAAAAAACTGTTCATTTAAAAATTCTAGCGGTCAGATTGAAAAGAAAAAAGTGCTGCTCTTTTTCAACACATTTACCGTTTCTAAATGTTTTAAAAAAATATATATATATATATATATATATATATAAAACAATCATACGGACAACAATATAACTTTATATTGCAAAAAGCTACTTGAAGATTATTACGACTGTAAATAAATTTCCGAGAGAACTACCATAAGTCTTATTTATTTACTGTAGTTCGTGATCTAAACATCTGTAACAGATTATTTGAAACGTATTCAGATACTTGACTAAGTGAATGCTTTTGCAACGGCTAGTTAGTTTCTAAAGATTTTATGAGTGTCGCGTAACATCGTTAAAACGTTGGCGAGTTTAAGGTGGTAATTTAAATAGTACCTAGTGAACAATGCTGCTAGACCCCACGCCAGCAGGCAAATAACCATTGCTCTGGTTTTCGTGCACACGTAACCTGCCCTAAGTGGTTCGCAAATGGCGTAGTACCGTTCAAAGCTGATGGCCAGTATAGTTAATACTGATGCGTGAGCCACAGTGAGTTCGACGAATGGCACGGCCTTACCTGAAAGCAAAATTACAATACATTATTGTACATTTTTTTACTATTAAGATATGCGCTCAAGTAAAATAAAAAAAAAATGGCATTGAATATTTGATGATTATATTGTAGATATCATTGCTAGTGTTTAGCTTGGCAACGGCGTATCACTAAAACCGGAAACGACAAGTAAAAATAGTACTCTAAACGGATAGCGGAGAGTCATTACGTTAGTTTTGAATAAACCTTACTGCTAATGGGTTTTCTAAGACCGATTATTATTAATCATACAGGTTGCCGAAGAAAATCACGATTATAAATCAATCAACTCCAATAAATTTATTCGATTTATAAAATCATGCGCAATTTACATTACAAAAAATGAAGTATCATCATTAACTTTAAAGCGATGTTTTTTAATGAATATGGATAAATGTCCAGCGTATTTGTAGGAAACTCGAATTTACAATTCGAGTTTAAACATTTTTCTAAAAGGTAATTGCGAAATTCTTTGGCAAGTATTAAACTTTATAGGTATGCGTAGTTCGATATTTAAGTTATCGTGAAATTTTAATTGTCAAATCATAAGAACAATGGGCGATTTTAATTACTCAAATATATTAAACAATCGAATACTTAGTTTGTTTATTTGGTTGAACAATCTTAATTTTTAAATTAATACTATATTAAAAATATTATTATTTTAAAACTATAAAATATCAAACTCAAAACGCCACAAAAAATTACTGAAAAACCGCGGAAACGTCTTTCGGAAACAATGTTACCGTCATCAACGTACCAGATAGTCAATTAAATAACATTTTCAAGTACTCAATTAGAAATCGATACTTCACTTTACTCAAAGCATATTTTAATGATTGAAACTTAAGAATATGGAACACAATAAAATAAATAATTCCACGCAATTGGATTGAATGTCAAGATGTATCAAAATACTTTGCAGAATATGAATGCACACTTATTTGCAATAATTCCAAAATTAAAGTAAATAATATATCACTACTTAGTTATGATTCATAACATATGAACTCATAATTTTTGAAAGATTCCTTTGGAAGCTATAAATTTGTTTTAAAAACCAATAAGCTAAATAGGAAATTTTATGTTACATATTTCAAAGTTTAGGTTTTACTTAGGTTATTAGGTGTTTTTAAGATTATTTCAGTACCGTAATAGAGAAAAATATCAGGGTGGCCAAATGATGTAAAATTTTTATAAAATATTGTAACAAAAATAAATGTTGATACTAAAGCACATGTTCATTTTCAATTAAACTAATAATGTATTAATGATTACGTATACTTCTAGCTCATATTCAATAACATCGTTCAATCTAAAATCTTTGAATTTCGACTCAAAATGGTAAGGATATAATGGAAGTTTTTAATGTATCTATAGAACGTCTGTCAGTTTAAAAAGATTTTTTGTGATCAGTAATTGAAACTCTTTGACATTTGATTGTTTTTGAAACATGAGATGTCATAAAACGCTAAAATTTTAAATAAATATTAAAAATGCTCCAATTTCAATGAAGTCTTAGAAATGCTTAAATTTAAAATAATCCATAAAAAAGCTTAAATTTTTAAAGAAGCCATAGAAATGTTGAAACTTTAAAGAATTCATAAAAATGCTTAAATTTTTAAAGAAGCCATAGAAATGTTGAAACTTTAAAGAAGCTCTAAAAATGCTGAAACTTTAAAAGAAGCCATAAAAATGCTTAAATTTTTAAAGAAGCCATAGAAATGTTAAAACTTTAAAGAAGCTATAAAAATGTTAAGAATTAAAAGAAGCCACAAAAATGCTTAAATTTTTAAAGAAGCTATAAAAATGCTAAAACTTTAAAGAAGCCATTAAAATGTTGAAACTTTAAAGAATTCATAAAAATGCTGAAACTTTAAAAGAAGCCATAAAAATGCTTAAATTCTTAAAGAAGCTATAAAAAAGCTGAAACTTTAAAGACTTTATAAAAATGTTGAAAATTTAAAAAAGCCTTAGATATACTCCAAGTTTTAAAAAAAATTATTATAAAGTTTAAATTTTACTGTTAAGGTTAATATATAAGGAAATTAATGTTAATTGTATTTTATTGTTAGCCTTTCTTTTGTCTACCAAAGAATATCTTCTAACAAAATAAAATAAATAATTTAAACAGAAATAAGAAACTTCATGGTAGGTAATGGAAATCAACCGTTTATTAATTGCCCGTTACATAAATACAATTAAATAAAACGACATCCGGTCTCTGAAGAGACTCATCCTATGGTCTGGATGTTTTGCCGAAAACACGGATCATAGTTGAATAATAACTAACTTCATAAACAAATTGTGTATAAAACGGACACAAAAACACTTTAGCATAGTCAATAACAGAAAGAATGGAGAAGAGCCAACACCAATATCAAATCAATAACGACTAGTCTTTTGTGTGAACAAGCAAACCGATAAATTCGATTTTAATAGTATTTATTTTTACTCGACTTATCTAAAGGTCAGTGGCAGATTTTATGAGTTGGTGACTTTTTTATTGCCCTTAAAACTTTATACAATTTTTTTGTCTTTTTAAAAGATTATAAATTGAATTTTAATAAACAAAGTATAGTTTATTGTTAAGTATCTAACTAATATTGAAAAATTTTTCATAAAATAAAAGTTGATATTTTTTTTATATTAAAATTTTTTTTTTTGTATTTTTAGTGCATAATAAAACACCAACTAAAAACGATAATTTTAATCACATAAAAACACACATTGTAGTGTATAAATGATGAGCCCTAGTTATGAATAATTCTTTTAATGTACTTTAAAAGTGCATGACGATTTCATTTGATCTATAAGTTTTAGATAAATTTTATTCAATTTCTACTTTTATACGTTTGATATTTAAACGTGATAACGACAAATAACAATGCGATCAACCGGTCTCATAATATTATCTGCACAAATATCTGACAACATTATTTATTTTTTGGTGTTTGTGAAAAAACAACGTATTGGTTGGTTTATAGAATTTCTCTATTAAAAACGATCACTATTCAAAGTTTGTGTAAAGTATTAAATTTCATGTAAGATGGGCAAATCGTAGAAAATTTCATTGCAGTAATATATGTGTACATTATATGCATCCGTTATCTATTACACGACGCCCGACGTTACTTGTGCCAAATTCGTTTCCTATTCAAAAACGCACGTACTGTTGCCAATGCAAACGCCGTGTTTAAACATTAGGAGATTTTGGGTAAACAAAAATGATAGCCTTTAGCGACACTAGAAAAACACCTTATTGGTTAGTAATGACGTTGGACGAGACAGTTTTTAAAATCAGTCTTTTATTGTGCATTACGTTTTAAATGCATTGCTGTTTTATGAACATTATATTGCTATCGTGAAAACTAATTTTCATTATCCTAACGCGCATTTAAGTTTGATCGTCACTTTGCCACCAAAATGTGCTTTTTATTTTTATGGAAACACCAAATGGATAAAAAGATGACTCTCTTATGTTTTAACATCATTGATTCTTTAGGACAATATTAACTTAAGAGATAATATAATGCATTTAAATGCAAATTTTACAAGTGGTTTTTATCATTAAAGTTAGGGTAGTTTTTAGTTATTATACTAAAAAAGAGTTACACCTAATATACATGACTGTTTTATAAATCAAAATTTTTTTTAACATATCCATTTGAAAAGACATAGACATCTTCAATTTTTACAATAATAAATTTTATATTGATGCCTACAAAATAAACTAACTTTAGTTAAAATATGTTTTGTGGGATAGTGTACACAATTAATCATGAAACATCCAAGTATTTTGTTTTTAGACTTTAAGGTGTGTATAATAAATCTTACTCGGTAAAAAGTATGAATTTATATGATTTATGACACAATATCTGAAATAGACTTATCATAACTTATGTAAAGTAAAGAGAAAAAAAATTTAATAAGTAATAAAGAGTTACAGGCAGCAAATCGCAAACGACAAGCCCACACGTTCACATCGGCAGAGCACTTAACTTAAAGAATTTAGACACGCATATAATAGAGCAAGAAGCATCTCTGTAAGTATTAATTTATGAAAAGTTTATTCTACCAATGTTAATTATACCATTTTAAGATCCCCATTTTTAAAAATTATTTTTTATTAAAATTAATCGATACGGATTACTTAACTTTTACAAAGTTATTAAATTTTGGCATTTTATAAAACAGATAAAATATCATAGTAAATTTTGTTATTCAAGTTATGTTTGATATATTACATATATCAAACGCGTTGTTAAAAATAAAGGCAAAAAAAGCTGAGTTAAATAGTTTGTTTATTTTTTTTATAGAGCACGAGGTAAATGGTTTTTGTCTCTAAAATAAAAGTAGGCGTGTCAAATGTTTTTTTACAAGTCGTAACTTATTTCCTTCGAATCGACTGACACTCTTACTCCAGATATATCAGACATGTCGTAGTTTTTCAAAATTTACGGTCAATTAACTTAACAGTTCAGACATACGTCGTTCTACGGGCTAACTTATTTGGAGGGGAACAAATCCGACTTGTAACTTATCTGGTATAACATAATGGTGATTTACAATAATATTGCAGTTTGTCTGAGAGGAGTTGACACTTGAACGTGCCCGGTAAATGATGTATTATTATTTTCACGCTCAATTCGGAAATTTCAAAAGCTGAAAACAGGAGAGCAATTATAATTATAAAAGAGTAGTTGAGTTTGAAATTTTAATAGGAGATACTATTTGGGTGCAATACTGTCGATTTAGTTTATCTTTGAAAGTATCAGATCGTGGATTTTGCGAGTAAAAAACCGTTAAAGCGCAGAGAAAAAAAGACAAAGTTACAACCGAGAAATAGATAATTATCGAGACTGTGGTTGGATAACCGAAGAGGAATTCTTCTCAACACCATGGCCGTTGACTGTGTCATGTCAACATGGTTAAGACAATTGTTATAGGCGATCTGCAGAGGTGCCAACAGCATTACTGTAGGC